ATAATTGTAACTTCTGTATTGTTAATCAGGCACGGCTGAAAGATTAATATAATAAAAAATAATAAATATATATAGATATAAATTTATAATGTTATGAGATTTAATCTATTTAGTCTAAACATTTATGTTTTCATGAATGAATGTTTTTAGAATGAAAACGGCATAATTTATATTTTATTTCCTAATTTTTTATGGTGGTTATGAGATCGGCCAAATCGACCAAACCCATACAGAAACTCATTAGTGAAAAATATAAAGTTTTTTCTTAAAAATGTTTGATAACTATCTGGACATTCATTATAAGGATTTCAAATGTTAAATTTGAAAATTTTCTGATGCATAAAAGTATTTTTAATATTAATATGAAAATAACTTTGCATATTAATGATTGGAGATGGCTTGAATGGTTAATGAAGCAACACTTTAATATAAGTTTAACATAACAGCACATGTACAACATTTCGACAAGGTTTTGTCTTCATTAGGTACAAGTAATTTACACTGACACAGATATATATATACAGTATTGAACAAAGAAGTCACATGACCGGAACTGTTGCGAAGCTTAGAAGAGATATCTTGGCACCCCAGGGTGTTGGTTTAGAGTAGGATTGTTTTGTTCATTTAAGATGGATTCCTTGATTTTTCGTTTGTTTATGTTTGGTTCTTCGTTTAAAAATTACTGTGTTTTTAATAGATATATTATGGTTTTTTTGAGTTGCAATGGTGGAAAACATGGGATGTTTTTTTATTGTGCTCTGTGAATCTGGTTTCCAATTTTCTTCCCGTTTCTCCAATGTAGAATTCTGGGCAGTTATTACATGTTATTTTGTAAATGATGTTGGTATTGTATGATTCTAAATACTTTTTGTTTAGTAGCGAATTTAATTTAGGGCCGGGTTTTTGAAAGAATTTGACGTTGACAGGAATATTGTGTTTAATGGCTAGTTTTGTCCAAGTGTGGATAATTCTTAAGCTGGTTGGGGGGTCAAAAGGTAAACTACAGTGTAATGTTCTGTTGTTGGGTTTGTTATTATCAATTTTGTTCGTCAGTTGAGGTTTGTTATGGGAAATGTTGGAGAGTTTTTCAACAAGAGCTGGTGGAAATTTATTGGTGTGAATGAAGGAATGCTTTATATGGTTGATTTCTTCATTTATGTAGTCCATTGAACAGAGTCTTGTGGCTGTGTTTATGAGGTTTTTGAGTGTATTGATTTTTTGTGTGGTGTCATGAGCGGAATTCCAGAGGATGTAGAGGCCAGTGTGTGTGTGTTCTTATGGTAAATTTTGGTTTTAAACTGTGTGTCCGATCTAATAATGTTGAGGTTAAGAAAAGATAACTGTTTATTGTTTTCATGTTCTATGGTAAATCTGATGTTGGGATGAATGGAATTTATGTGTTCAAAGAAAGTTAATGTGTGTTCTGTAGAAATGAAACCAGCAAAAGTGTCATATATCTGTACCAGTAGAGTGAGAATGAAGCACAGAATGTATGGCTTGTGTTTCGATCTGGGTCATAAATATATTGGCAAAAAGGGGCGACACAACATTGCCCATACTTAAACCATCTATTTGAAGGAAATGTTCGTTGTTGAAAACATATCTAATATTTTGCATATGAAAGCACTGTAATGTGTACTGATAATCTGCCAAATTCTATGAACATACACTTATTAGTTTAAAAGTTATACTATAAAAACTATAACAAGCACAAAATGGTTACGAGGGCAGTCCCAGGGACCGAGCCCATGCTGAAAAAGATAACAGAACATAAAGAAAAATAAGTTGATAAATTACAAATGAGCAATTTGGTCTTGGCAAAACATTTGGCGAACTCTTCACATCATTGTTTAGGAAAATGTGAAATTACTTAAATAGGTAAAGTTTAAAAAATATTTAAATAGAAGAAAATTTTTGGAAATTTATAAAAATAGAATTATGAGTTTCAATAGAGATGTAGATCCAGGTGCCTTAGAAGTGAATTACTGTGAACCTCATGTAACCTTATCTGTGTCCTGAATATGGTGGATCATATTGTCACCAAAACATGTAGAACATTATTTCTTTTAACCTTATACAAATAAAATTATTGTGCATGTGGAACAGTTGGTGTCATCATTTTATGTTTTGTTTTTATTGAAAGTAAACACAAGAGATGTCAGTTTAATGTACTGATTAATGTTATTTAATATTAAGAAACCAACAAGAGGTTCCTCTTGTGGTAACAAATGGATACTAAGTTCATGGCTAATTGTGTAAAATATGTTAAATAATTAGTCATATGACCTGTAATCTGGCAAGATAATAGGAAGCCTGAAAACCTTAGAGATGAGAACAAGAGAGAGTGTTGTTAGGTAAGAGATTTTACTTGTTAAAAGATATAACAGCTAGTATCTGTAGGACAACACCTGTGTAAAAGTATAATAATATTTTCAGCTTGTTACAGATTTTAAACTACCTTGCATATAAGATACATTTTCATGTATAACAGTTAAGGATTAAAAAAGGAGCTTAATCCTATACTGTTGAATCTGAAGATGTCTATAATATTAAATGAAGGGTAGTTTAGAAAGGCCCCATCATTCCTAAATTAGAAAGGATGTGTTGGCAGATGGAGAAGTATGGGCACTCAAAACTCAAGCAATTGCAAAGCCAAAGGACAGAGATGATGAATTCATGAGAGAGTAGTAACATGAAATTTCAGATGGACATGATATTGAGTAGGCACAACCTAAGGCTTGTAGTAGTGAGAAATGGCTAAGTGGAGATCAACCACTGAGCAGGATCATCTAACAATCCATGTGATGATGACTATCAATATTGAGTGAGTGTAGAAGATCAGCTACAAGTATGGTTACACATGTGAAGACATAGTGCTAAGGCCTAACTAAAAACAAATGATCATGAACTGATAAATCACTCTATTATGTGTAAAATGAAGATAGGTGAATCAGGACTTGTAAATAAGCATAATAAAATAATTGGGAGAATGAGAATAACTAAAAATGGTGTAGAAAAATAATGTCTCAAAACAAGCTGAATCAGAATGTGCAGGGCAGAAAAATGATGATGGTTAAAGTAAAAAACAAAACAAGTGGAGGACCCCCCTCTTTAATAACCAAACTGAGGAGTCAAAAACATCAGAACAGAATTAAATGTTAAATTAAAGAAATTGGACTGAATCTTGGGCATATAAATCAAGCCATATCAATCAATTTTGAAAGTGAGTCATTTCAGAATATTTTTTCTCTATCGATCCTTGGCAGTAAAAGCCACATGCTTTTATTAAAGATATTCATAGCTTTTGCACACACACATCAAAGTGATGTGATAGATTTAGACAGATACACATTATAAAACTTCACAAAGCATTATTTAATTAAATTTCTTTCAAAATCTCATATTATACAATACTGTAGCTTCTGTAAAATCCTCCAAAGTTATCAAACTTTAGGTTTTAGCATTCAGTTTTATATACTGCTTTTGTAAAATGTGTAGTACTGACACACCCATCCACGTGGGTATTTAACTAAAACTTTTTCAATATGCATTTTATAGTTGCAGAAAACATAAGAACAATATTCCACTGGAGGAAAAGGAGCATACACAAAAGTATGTTATATCAGCAATCTGTTAGTTGCTGATAGTGTTAACCTACCAAGTGATTGTTGATCAGAAACTGTTAATATGGACAACATGCCTAGTGGTTGTCCATATCAATTAATATGTTATGTTAGCAATCTCTTTAATAGTTGTTGATATGGATAGACTGCCTTAGCATTGGTTATCCAAATCAATCAACAAGTTAAATTACCAATCTATTAGTTGTTGAGATTCATAACTTGCCCTGTGGTTGTTCATATCAACCAATGCTATATTAGCAATAGTTTATAAGTTTTTGATATAGGTAACCTGCATATCAGTCAATGTTTTGTATTTTTAATCTTTTGTTAATATGGAGAATCAATTTGGTGGTTATCCATGTCAAATTTATGTTATACTAGGAATGTTCAAACTGTTGATATAGATATCTGCCTAGTGGATGTCCATTCAACCTATAGAATATGCTGGCATTTGGCAAAGTTTTTTTCCATATGAATAATCTATCCAGTATTTGTCAACATTAATGAATCCTAACATTTCTCTACTCGTTAAAATTTTTTTTCAAACAATCTAAAATTAATATAAATATAAATAATTGTTACTTACTATCTTTTCCAACTTCAGAAAGGTTTGCTTTGTTCATTTCAGCATTCTGTTGAAGTTCAATGTTTTCATTAACTTTAACATTTTCTTCCTCAGGCTTAAAAATATCTAATGCCTGTTTTTCCTCTTTATATCTACCTTGTTCTTCTACACTAATTTCACTTGGTTCCACACCTGATGGCACAATAATTGGTGTTGTATTATCTAGAAGCATAAAATCAGTTCCTCTCACACAGTCAGTAATATCAACAACAGATGTTTCTGGCCCATCATCTCTATTAAGTAAAGGAGGATTTACAGATACATGTATATTTATTGATGCTCTGTCTACCCCATCAGTCAATCTCGTGTTCTTATTTGATTCTTCTGGATTCACTTTTGATTGGAAGTTCAAAACCTCAGTAATGTTTTCCAAATAATTTTCTTTTACGTGCTTTTCATATGCTTTACAAGAGACAACTTCGGAGGTTGTTCCAAAAGTATCTGCAATGATCTCATTACCATTTAAAACACTTACATTAACAGTGTGACAAACTACAGGAATATGCATCTCATGGTTATTGTCCATATTAGTAGCTGGTGACTTCATTTCTATCACTCCAGATATTACTTTCTCTGTATTACTTGAATTCCTCTGAAATACTGAAATTGGTGTTTGAGTTTCTTGAGAATTAATATTTTCTTCTTTGGGTGTAGAGTCTTCTTTTGAAGAAGTTGCGAGGGCAGCAACTTGAAGTGCAAACTGAGCAGCTATTTCATTCACTGGTGTGTCATTTTCCTGATAAATATATATACATCAATATATATACGTGTGTGTGTACATATATATTAGCTTTTTTTCACTGTGCACTAATTACAAGGTAAAAAAATAATTTTACTTGGTAATAATCATGTATGATTTATTAAATTTCTTTATATATATATATATATATATATATATATATATAATAAAATAAATATTACTAGTAACGTAGGACTAATTTATTATGTATTTTTTTTATAAATAACTATAACAAACGAAAGGGAGGTCTACTAACTTTAACCCGTT